CAGACCAGTATTTGCAGTTTGACTCCCATCACCCTTTGGAGCACAAGCTAGGAGTCATTAGGACTCTGTACCACAGAGCAGACAGCATCCCCACTAGCTCAGGAGCCAGGCAGAAGGAGAAATCCCACACAAGACAGGCTCTAGAGCAATGTGGATATCCTAACTGGGCCTTCCTGAAAGAAGAAACCCAAACAGGACTCCAGTCAGCCAACAGGTGAAAAGGAGGAACCCAGACCCAGACCAGTGGTCATTCCGTATGTTGAGGGAGTATCAGAGAAACTGAGACGTTTATTTTCTAAACATAACATCCCAGTGGCTTTTAAACTCCAAAATACATTACGGCAAAGACTGGTTCATCCCAAAGATCCAGTCCCCCGGCACAAACAGAGTAATGTTGTGTATGTTGTTCAGTGTCAGGAGGGCTGTGATCAGTCTTACATCGGGGAAACTAAACAGCCACTGGCCAAAAGGATGGCCCAGCACAGAAGATCAACATCATCAGGCCAGGACTCTGCGGTCTACACTCATCTCCAGGCCAGCGGTCACTCTTTCAGGGATGAAGATGTTCACATTCTGGACAGAGAGGAACGATGGTTTGAGAGAGGAGTAAAGGAGGCCATCTTTGTGAAAAGAAACCGTCCATCATTAAACAGGGGTGGAGCCTCCGGGTTCAACTGTCCCCCTCTTACAATGCTGTGATTGCTAGTATCACTCAGCCCTCTGTGAACAGTAAACAGCCATCAGGTGCTAATGATCCATTGTTAGGCTGATGGTCCTTCTTGAGCATGTGAGCAGCTGGTTTTGGTTGTCAGCAGCAAACTGGTTGATCCACTCTGAGAAGGTGCTATTTAAGAGACTGAGCTGAATACAGCACCTCAGACTGAGGAAGTCTCTCGGATGAGAGACGAAACGTTTCTACATTTTTTTGCTTTGTTTTGTTTTTTTGAATGTCCAGAGGACCAGATTGAACCTTTTTGGACTTTAACAAAATGTTTTTAGTGTTTTTGGCTCGTCACTATTCGGAGGTACCACAGGAAATATGTGGTCGTTGTTTTACTCCGGATGCACCGACGCAACCGAGCTCAGGCCGCGGCAGGCCCTGAACTTTAACACTCAACATTTCTATCAAATATCCTTCATCTTTCTAGGCCTTGTGACCATAAACTATCAATACATGTCAGACAAAACATTTACAACCTAAAGATTGTGTCTGAAAATACGACAAATTACATTTGCGCCGCTCAAGGTGGCTGCATATTGGAGCAGCTCTGATACTTTCATTCTGAGATTTTGGAAACTTTAATTCCTCTTTTTCTGGATGTAAATCACATTTTTTGGATGATTGTTTCCTCTGGTATCGGATGCTGTGCAGCTGGAAGGATTTTTACGGAAACTTTTTTAGTTTTGAACATTTGTTATTATGCGTAACCATGGCAACAAGGCAGTTTCTACAACCAACAGCAGCTGATTAACATCTCAAAAGCTCAAGTAATATCTCAACTACAGCCCTAAATTTCAAATGAGTTGAAAAGGATGTTCTGTGGACGCATTTTCATCTACCTGCCAGCTGTGCTCGAGTGCCTGACCACTGAGATCCTGGAACTAGCAAGAAACACGGCTCATGACAGCGGAAGGACAGGATCGTCCATCAGCACCTACAGTTGGCTGTCCACAGTGATGAGGAGCTCAACAAGCTGCTGGGAGGAGTGGCCATTGCCCTGGGAGGAGGTCTGCCCAACATTCAGGTGATCCTGAAGCCCAGGAGGCCAACCAAGTGCAAGTAAACGGATCAACATCTGTGGCCAGTTTTTTCAGATCTGCTATGAGATGGACCATCACAAGAGATCCTTCCCGCCCACAACCATCAACATCTAGAACAACTCTTTTATGAAACAAGGAAAATGAGCTACAACAACATTTAATTTCCCTCTGGGATTAATAAAGTATTTTTGAATTGAATTGAATTTGTATTGTACATTATGTATGTGAGTGTTTCTGTAAAGTCCTGAGACAACTTTGTTGTGATTTGGTGCTTTAAAAATTAAGGAGCTGGTTTTGTTCAATTCAGTTTATTTTTCGACTAAACTCGAGTTGATTGGTGGTCGACGGAGCAGCAAACTGAAATGACTTTTTCCCCGTTTCTCTTGGGACTTTAGGTACACACAGTAAGTACTAGTCCTGGGAGCAAAGTCAGTTTGTTGTTTCAACCTGCGGATGGACAAGATCGAGGTTGAGGTTTTAAGATGAGTAATAAAACGGAGCGCCCCGCAGTGAACGGAGTCGATGCTTGAATAAGACCTGAGCAGAACGCAGCCGCAACAAGTCACTTTGAAGTAAAGGCAGGATCTGATTCTAACCTAGTTTTAATGTTTGTCTTTGAACAACATGTTTAATCTGTGTGATGTATGTGCAATCCATAAAACCAGTTCAGAGTGGGAGAGTAGTCGTAAAGTGACTGGAATCACAGGCCGTGAGTTTGAAAACATCCGCTTGGTTTATTCCAAATTTAAAATGCTGTTTCATACACGTGTTCAATCCAACATGAGTACAGCAGCACACGTGTCTGAACGAGTTACGACAATGTGCTGGACACTTCTATAAACCTGAAATCAAAAAGATCCATAATTCTTCTGTGTTGGAAAATACTCTATGTACAATGTTTATAATGTCCAGAAGGAAAGGTTTGTCAAGTTCTGATCAAAAAGTATTTCAGCTATGCAAGAAAACTTTTACTTTTAACATTTCCTCAAAAATAAAATGAACTGGAGCATTTATGAATTTCTTGTAATAGCAGGTACTTATTGTCCTACAACATGGCAGCAAAATAATTTTGCCTTTTGAAATTTCTCTGATGAAAAACCTCTTCCTGCATATAATTCAAAGAGTGTGTCCAAACAGAAAATCACTGTAAATGTAGACATTTTGATCTTAACTGGATGTCGGGTGAACAGAAAGTTTTCATTTGAACCAGCTCCATCTTGTGTTTGCAGCTGATGAGGCGAGCGGAGCCACGGCCTCCTCTCAGCCCGCTGACTCCACTTCCTGCGACTCCACTTCCCGTGCTTCAGACACAGAAAGACTAAAGAACGTGGACGAAGGAGTGCCCGAGGACGAGGGCAGCGAGCCGAGTGCTGCTGAGCTGAGGCGGCGCCGTCTTTGCAAGCTAGAGGCAGCATCGTCGTCATCGTCGTCCCCTCCTCTGGACAACTGATCCATGCGCTGAGACTTGGGCATGTTGCTCTGAAGCTTCACGAGCGCTGACATGACGCAGCTGCTCTGGTTCTTCGTTGGCTCTCTTCCTGTTTGCTCAGGGGGCTGATGGAAGACGCTGCTGAACTGTGTCGGACAGCAACAGCATCTTTTTTCTTTGTTCTCATCAACGAACTGCTGCAGGTCATGTTGGGGTCACCCTGTGGGAGAACTGCTTCATCTTAGCCTGTCAGTGCGGGTGACACCCTGTTTAGATGTGTCTTTGTTAGTTTTACTGTTTACTCTTTGTTTAAACCAACTGAGGACGTTCACATGAACATGTTGCACAGCGCACGGACCACTCGACACTAATTCAGTTCAAGTGTTCCCTGGGATTGTACCTGCTCATGCTGTAACACTGATTTATTGGAACATGTACATACTGTACACTTTTAATAGGATGAAGAGGCTTCAGAACTGAAGGGACATCTGTATGTGTGTGTGTGTGTGTGTGCGCGTGCGTGCGTGCGCGCGTGCCAGCTGAACCCACAGAAGAATGCTTTGCTAAAGCTCCTGATGTGTGAGCACTTGTCTTCAGGATTTCTGCTGCAGCTCTTTGTCGTTACCTTTCAGTTAAAGCTTTGCTTGTTCAAATAAAACTCACAAATTGATCCGAAAGAAAATAATTCTGTTCATACAAACATACTTTTTTAGAACAAGCACATTTAATGCTTCAATCCCAGTGCTTCTTTATGAAAATAAAAATAAGCAGAACTATAGTTTTTGTTTTTATTTGCCCACTGCCATGAAACAACTGTTTGTGTCTTTTAGTTAAATCTCGTGAACCACTGGACAGATGTGAACGAAACTCTCAAAAGTAGTCGATGTGCATCTATAACTGATTCACTTCAGAATCAACCCAATCTGAGATGCTGCCACAGCAGATTGAGATTAGCCAACGCAAAAACTGCTATAAATCAGTTTTACTACAAGTGCTGGTCATAAAATTAGAATATCATGAAAAGTTTATTTCAGTAATTCCATTCAAAAGTGAAACTTGTATATTATATTCATTCATTACACACAGACTGATATATTTCACATGTTTATTTCTTTTAATGTTGATGATTATAACTGACAACTAATGAAAATCCCAAATTCAGTCTCTCAGAAAATTAGAATGTTGTAAAAAGGTTCAGCACTGAAGACACCTGGTGCCACACTCTGATAAGATAATTAACTCAAAACACCTGCAAAGACCTTTAAATGGTCTCAGTCTGGTTCTGTAGCTACACAATCATGGGGAAGACTGCTGACTGGACAGTTGTCCAAAAGACGACCATTGACACCTTGCACAAGGAGGGCAAGACACATGAGGTCATTGCTATAGAGGCTGGCTGTTCACAGAGCTCTGTGTCCAAGCACATTAATAGAGGTGAAGGGAAGGAAAATATGTGGTAGAAAAAAATATACAAGCAACAGGGATAACTGCACCCTGGAGAGGATAGTGTAACAAAACCCATTCCAAAATGTGGTGGAGATTCACAAAGAGTGGACTGCAGCTGGAGTCGGTGCTTCAAGAACCACCACGTATAGACAGATGCAAGACATGGGTTTCAGCTGTCGCATTTTTTGTGTCACTGTAGTGAACTAGGCCTCCGACAAAAACCTGCCTCTGAAGACCTTCATGGGACAGGAACTGTTATTTCATTGATTTGAATCCAGAAATACAAATTAGCTCATCCAGAGACTTTCTAATTGTATCCTGAACTAATCAATTGAAAGAACACTCTCTTTTTTATATTATCATTACTATTTTACAATATCTTGATAATCAAAAGTGTGTTTAGTTCAAACCATTTCTAAATGTTGAAGTGAACCACTCATTTTAAATCAACTGTGAAACAGTATTAATGATTTTTTAATCCTCATTCAAATTAGAAATCAAGTTAAATGTCTATTTTACAAAGTAATTATGCATTTTTTGATCTTCTGTCTGAAATGAGAAGAGTGATGTCGGTCAAAAGTCGGAGACAGTCAAGAAACACGTTGTTAGAACGGGCTGTCGTGTTTTTAAAGCTCTCAGACAATAAACAAGAGAACTGGCTCCTGCAGTGTTAAGTCACTTTGCCTAAACATTTCTCTGTCTGTTCCTAAACATTTCTGTTGTTTTCTTGACTTGTAAAAACCCTTTGACGTCACTAGAACCACACCCCTGTTGGTTGCTTCAACCAATCAGGACTTCCTAAAAGTGACCAGAAGCAGAACTCTTTAAAAGTTGACACTTCCTGGAACTGTCAGTCTTTTCTATGTCTGCTCGGTCTTCTTACTTCTTCTCAGTCTTTTCTGAGTCTGTGGAGTAACGGCTGAGGTCTTCTGAAGTCTTCTCGAGTCTTCTGGAGTACTGTGGAGTAGTTCTGGAGTTTTTCCACTGCTGAGTGGAACTTCGGACTCAGTTTCCAGTCTGATGGAGCCATCCATCTCTGCAGGAGCCACGACGCCTCGCTGTGGCTCCACCCGGCGAATGCCCTACAACTTCTGAGGAAGTTGTTCTGTAGAGCGGAGTATCTCACGACTTCTGCCGAGTCGCAGCCGCCCTGAGGAGACGCTGAAAGGTAGCGTGCCAGGGACCTCTTGACCGCAACTGACCCATCCTCCGCCAAGGTAAAGAGTCGTCACGAGCTTCACTACAAGTGTACCGCGGGCAAACTGCGCTTGAAAGGAGCGTGTTGTTCTGGTCTACAGACATAAATCTTCCTCCATATATTTCCTTTAAACTCTTCCATAATTTCCCATCTTTAAACTCCTCCATAATTTCTCATCTTTAAACTTCTATCTTGCCAGTAATTAATCCAGATGCCTTCAGAAATGTCTGTTGTTTTTATTAAGTAAAACGTGCCAAGTTTTATTAATCAGAACCAGACAAGTCTAATCAAGTATACAATGTTTTGATGTTAAATTTTGATTCTGTTAATAAATGACCACATTTATTTTGATGGGTCAAAGAAAATTAACGTCTCATGTCACTGATTAAACCATCTACGCACAGTACCTCTATCACATATCCGTAAGTAGCTCGAAAAAGAGAGAACCTGTTAATTTAAAATATGAATGTAGTGAAGCTCTGAAGCTAACGTAGCCTTTTACAACACTACATTCTGGTGGCCCGTACGGTCTCTAAAGAGCTTCTCATGGCCCGCATGGTCTCTAAGAGAGATAATTTAGGACCCATCCTCCTCTTTAGACATTTTGTGGCCGTACGAATCTTTAAAGAGGTGTGAATTATATGTGACGGAGTCTGTTATTGTGGAATAACGCTCATGTTGGCATGAAAAGGTCCGAGTTTTGAGCTTGGTACAGGCATGATTCATGCTTGTGGTGTTCAGAAAGCTGCAATTACGTCAATGTGGTCATTTTAAAGCTGAAAATTGTACATCCGTTGTGTAACTAATGCTGACATGCTGTGGAAAAAACGCTTTATTCTGTTTAAACGGTAGCAGAGAGTGGATTCTGTGTCTGACCCGGTTCTGTTTACTGGACTCATTGAACGAGTGGTGTTTTAAATGGATAAAACGCTGTTTTAAAGCTGAGCGCCGTCTCAGACCACTGTTAAATGCTGATCCGTTACATTTTTAACAGTAAATTGTGCATTTTTGAGGCTTAATGGGCAATTGTTGACCGGACTTTTCAGGCTAACTGCTAGCTGGAATCACGAGCTGTGATTGGTTGAAAACTGCTGTTTGGGTCGCTCTGATTCGCTGAGAAACTGGTGACGTGTCTGTGCGTGCACTCCCTCTGATGTCAGATTGTAAAGCCCATCCCGTTGCTCACGTGTCTGTAAAGTCACGTGACCCCAGAAATGAATCTCGGTTCAACCGAGCCCTCCTCTGTGTTTAAAATCGCTAAATGAAGCCTGCCACTGTTCCCAAAACTCATGTTTTCATGCAAATAGACGTGTTTGTTGAAGCGACGCCACGTTTAAGCTTTAAATCCGTTCAGAAAGTGCTGATTTGACCGTGTTCGACCGTGTGCTACGTCTAGCTAATGGCTAACGACTGGATGTCAACAGAACGATCCACAGGAAGTTGTCATAGACTTCTGCTGGTACAAATAAGCTTACACCATCGCCTGCTGTTGAAAGAGGAGTATAACAGTTTTCCTGAAGGGAGACTGCTCACTGCCTTTAATAAAAAAAATTTTGTTAATCCGGCCTGGTTTATGAGTTACTGTTTTAAATAGCAAATTCTGGTAAATTAAACTGCTTCAAAAGCGTTTGAAAACTAAAGTTGCTGTGAGACTTTTAGAAAAATTGCAAGTTTATTTAATTTTAAGTGCTTTTTGAGTGAGTTAACACTGAAAGAGCCTGGTTCTTGTATCTGTTAGATTTAAGCTCATTAAGTAACACTGCCAGAAGGAGGCATTTACTTAGAATATTCATGCATTGGAGTAAAACCTACGAATAGGTGCCCATTCATTTGAAGAAGTTGGCTTATAACAGTACTGTTGAGTGAACCCAGAGCTAAAATAGTGTGTGAAACTCACTGCTCACTTAAATACTAATATTTACCTGTTAAAAGCTCTGAAGTTGGCAACTGTGTAACCAGATAAGTGCTGAACAGTGAATAACCATGGCAGATGTGACAGAAAAGAATATTGATCCTTGTGTGATGAAGGACTGGTTGGAAAGGGCGTTAACGCTGCTCCCAGAATCCTTGAATCCATATGGTGAACAGGTGGACAGCATGAACTCCAAAGAGTTATTGGACGAGCTGAAGGATGTTGCAGAGAGTGTGACCTCTACAGCCAGAACAAAGTCAAGCTATGACCAGCTGGCTAAGTTAGCACTGTTGTTGAAAGCAACATTTTATAGGGAGGCAAACAAAGCTGACGACCTTGTAATAAGGTTAAACAGCAAAAAAAGGGTACCTCAAGCTCATGGCACAGTCTAAATTTGATCAGGAGACCCGTGCGAATGAGTTACAACGTGAGAGGGAACTCTTACAAGTTAAGCTGTCGTTACAAGCTCACTCATATGAGGAGAAGATGAGGGAAAGAGAGGTTAAGTACCAAGCATTGTGTTCAGACAACGATGTGCTACAACAACAGTTGCAGCTCACATCAAAAGCTCTGAACGAGTGCAGATTGGAAAAGGCGGCGTTGGTCCAACAAGGTGTGCGTTTACAAAGTGAATGTCGTACATCACATGAATGCTTAAAAGCCTGTGAGGCGAAACTAGCCGTTGCAACAAATGAGATTTCTGACGTGGGGCGAGGTTGTCTGGAACTCAAAGACGAACAAGGTCAGAGTCCAGGTCACCCACCACCACCTCAGAAGGATTTTGCTGCACCTCCTGCTCTTAATCCCATTCCGTCACCTTCACATGAGTCTAGCGACACACCTCTACATGCCCTTTTGGTTCCTACGATACAGATAATACAGCCTTTGCTCCCAATTTCGGATTTGCACAAAATTGCAAAATATGTCAACAGCTTTGAGCCAGGGCCGTTAGGTTCAACTGACACTAAGGCCTATCTGGACAACCTT